GTTACAGAATTATATGTGCTAACAGTCATTCTTTTATTAAAAGGCAGTACTGGTATGTGCTGTACTTAGGTTGCTATATACAGTAATTGGTGTTAACAAGCAAATCTTCTAAAGCACCTAATAGCTTGTCCCTTGCCTGTTGCTAGACAAGGCTTTCCAATGCTCTGCTCCTGTGCTTGCCTTAGGTAAGGAGCATTAGATCCAAATACCTGTCTCACCGAAAGATGAGTCTTCTCTATTACTGCATCCATTTTCTACTAGATCATTCCCAAAAGCACACAAAATATGCTATTAAAAAAAATGAGGGTGCCTGGGTGGCTCACTTAAGCCTCAACTCTTGGTTTCAGCTCAGATCATGATCTCATGGTTTGTGAGTTCAAACCCCACATCGGGCTCTGAGCTGACAGCTCGGAGCCTGTTTGGAATTCTTTCTCTCTCTCTTTCTGCCCCTCCCCTGCTCACGCTGGCACCAGCTCTCTCACTCTCAAAAATAAACATTAAAAGAAAAATCTTGATCCTGTGATCCTTCTTCCAGCTATTACCCTTTTTTCTGCTACCACCTTTACAGCAAAAGTCAAGAGTTTTCTAGTTTTACTCCCTTTTCACCAACTTCTATTAGGAAAATTTCATAGAAGGTGACCAACTTAATGTGAAAAATTACCTTGTCATAGTTCTTTCATATGTGTGTTTTTAACTTTCAAAGAACACATACATGATTTATCTCCTAAGAATAAGATGGTTCTTCTATACAGAACTTTAATCCCATTGTTCTACTTAAAATACTTCCCTAATTTAACACGCGGGCCATAGTTTAGATTTTCCCATTAGTTCCCCAAAGATCGTTTGCAGCTTTTTTTTCTCCCTAAAGCAGGATTAAATCAAGATTGTGACTTTCTGGAACAACTAGACCTGTTGTCTTCTTGACTGTTTCTTCATAGTGTCATTTAATTTAACCTTTTGTATCACTTTGAACTGTAAACTGGACGCTAGGTCTAAAGTAATTAAAGTTTATTTAGGGAGGGGGAGGGGGAGAGGGGGCAGAGAGAGAGGGAACGGAATCCCAAGCAGACTCCACACTGGCTGCATGGATCCCGACGCAGAGCTTGAACCCATGAACTGTGAGATCATGACCTGAGTGAAACCATGAACTGGAAGCTTAACCAATTGAGCCACTCTGGCGTCCCTGAAGTTTTTATTTAATACAAGATGCTGCTGTAGTGTTCATGTTACATCACACAATGTATGGCTGGCTTTCCCAGGACTAGTGATAAGTTTGGACATTTTGTTAGGTCATTTGATACAGGATGCCTGTCAGACTTTTCTCCACTACTCTATTTAAACTACCAGTGATTTCCACAGTGCTAAATCTAATCAACATTTGACCTTGAAAAGTGTTTCAGTTGGTTCTACATAACTTTTTTCTTGTTCCCTGCTGGCTCAGTCTTCATTTTTCTAAATGTTAAAACATACATATGCCCCAGGATTTAACCTTGGGCTCCTTGCCACCTCTGTTCATACTCAGTTTGGTGACCACATCTAATCCTAAAGACATAAGATTGTATTAACCTCTTGCATTCCTAGGTAGCCCAGACAGTTAAGCATCTCTTAGTTTTGGCTCAGGTCATGATCTCACAGTTCGTGAGTCTGAGCCCCACATCACAAGTGCAGAGCTTGCTTGGGATTCTCTCTCCCTCTCTCTCTGCCTTTCCTCTGCTCACACTCTCTCCCTCTCCCTCAAAATAAACTTTAAAGAAACTTATTTGCCTTGATAGAAGTAGGAAATTATGTTAAAAAATATTATATTCTTAGTCTATGGAGGCATTTCCACTTGGATGTTTAATAGAGGTCTCAAAACTTATGTCTAAAACCAAACTCCTTATTTTTGCCTCTCAAACTTTTCCTCCAAATCATCATTCCCAGTCAGTTAATGGCATCTCTATTCTAGTTTCTCAGCCAAAAAACAGTCCATCTAGTAGTCTTGGTTCCGTCTCCAGTCTCACCATCTCTTCCTTAGTCAGTGATTGCCCAATTGTGGTCTTGTGGTTTTTGTTTTGCTTCATCTGTGTCTCCTTACCACCTCTCCCAGTCTCCTATAGCAGTCACAGTGATCATTTAAAGATCTAAATCTTTTACTTAGATGGCTTCCTACCCTAAGTAAAAGTCAAAGACTTTTACAGTGGTCTACAGGGCCCTAAATTACGTGCATTCTACCCCACCTTCCTTAATTCTGGTCTCTTGCCTGCTCACCCTGCCTATCCCACATTGGCTGCCTCCTGATCCTCCCATGTAGTTTGTATACTCCTGCTGTTCTCTGCCAACAGTGCACGTCTATAAAACTTCAGGGGTGAATCTTTTACCAACTTGTTCAAAAACTCCTCTCAGACCTGCCATGACTACTATTTAAAATTGCAGCTTGATATCCTGGTTTTGTTGTTTTCTTTTTTTTTTTCTGTAACACATAACTATATAATTATCTGTTCTTCTGTTAGAGGGCAGTGAGGGCAAAGATCTTTGTTCAGTGAAGTATCACAGTGCCTGGAACAGTGCCTAGAGTATGGTATGTACTCAGTAAACAGTTTTTTAATGAATTTCAAACTACTACAGGGTTTGCAGAGTAGTATTTCATTGAACAAAGATGTAATGAATCAGAATATCCAATTTTGGTATTTTGGTTTTACTATATTAAGAAATGGACGCAGAACTGAGGTGACACTTAATGCTCCAGAAATCCCACTAATGAGCTTCATGAGCTTTAATTTCATAGCTTTTCTGGATATTCACTATAAAAACAACAGTTTCCGTCTTGCTACTCTGACCTATTCTTTAAAGTAGGTAATAAGAAAAGTGGTTCAGTGCATGATACGCATTCAGGTAGCATGAATTCAACTGAATGCCCAACAAAAGAAAAACGAAAGCAGGGCTACGACTTCTCAGGGTGCCTCAGAGGTAAGCCTGTCTGTATGAGGCCAGTTCCTCTGTACCGTACAGTATAATAAGCAATTTGCTCTGAGTGTCCTTGAAATTCATAATTTCTAAACATAATTTTCTCTGGTGCTCACTGGCACCATTTGAAAGCTGGAGGAAATCACATTGTAGATATTGATGGTGTCTTCATCTTAAGAAGACATGGGATATTGGAAAACTTTTCCCATTGTCAACTGCCTCGCTTAAATAGGCAATAGGTGGAAAATCCTCAAAATTATCCATACATTCCCCTTCCTTAGATTTTACCAACTGTTACCAAAAATGAAACACATGGTGACGGCACATTTGACTGGAGGGGAATGAAAAAAAAATACTGAGCTAGTTGCTGTGAAGGTAAGTCATGGATACTTCACAGAATAGGAATTTATTCTTTGCTCTAATCATATGCATTTGACAGAGGCTCTGCCCTTATGGATGCCAAAGCGTCAAATGCCTCTATGTGTCCAGTTTCTTCCTTATGGTGGTGCTGTTTGTGTCTGCATATCACAAATTCCTTAATTTCCACGTTGATAGCTCTTTGCGCACACATGTACATGTGTTTACCACTCCATGAGAAATCCTGGCATCTTTAAGATGATGAGAAGACATTTACCTCAGAGTAATGCTACTCTAATAATTGTCTTTCTAACAGCTCTACAGGGCTAAATGTTTTCTGTTCTGGCATGCATTTGATTTTATTTCTGGTACCTTGGGATTTCCCTTTGTTTTAGAGCCTGGCAACATTTTGACAATTTGTTTTTGAGATCTAGTGCATCTAACATTTTTGTTTTTGGAGCAGAAAGAGGGGGAAGGGAGCAGTTACCCAATAATGTCATTTCAGCCCATCATGTTGAGAGGACAAAGATACTCTATACTATATGACATGTCTTTACACACTCCAGGATTGAGGTTTAAGCTATCCATTAAATTTCTTTATATTAGGGACACCTGGGTGGCTCAGTCAGTTAAGTGTCCGACTCTTGATTTTAGCTCAGGTCATGATCTCCTGCTTCAGGAGATGGAGCCCCACATCAGCCTTGCTGACAGCACGCAGCCTGCTTAGGATTCTCCCTCTCTGTGCCCCTCTCCCCGCTTGTGTGCACGTGTGTGCTCTCTCTCAAATAACATTAAAAAAAAGTCTTTATGTTAAAATTTAATTACTTCTACATTCAAGTTGACTTCAGCACACACAAAAAAGGCCTATAATTACATAGTTCGTACTAAGGTTTGTGAAACAAGCAAGTTTCTACTGAATTTGATTTTTTTCCCCCTTGTGGTCATATCTTCATGGTAATTTTGGTAAGTGAATACTCTTAAAGATATGTCCCAGAACTCTCATGGGAGTAGAACATTAAATAATGAACTCGGGGTAGCTTTGTTTCACTGTCTTGAGTTCTTGTTATGGAAGAGATCCAGATGTCATTCTATTTGGACTTTACTTTCCTCAGTTGGATATCCTAAGATTGAGATGTGATTTGTAAAGATCTTACAGGCTCTACAACTCCATGATGGGTCATTCTAAAGTAGAATATTTACTGTATTTAAGCATAAAGCCAAAGAGCTTGGGATTTAAAGTTTTTTTCAGACTAAAGGAAATGGGGCAGCAGAGGCAGTTTTAGAACCTCTAGTCACTAGGAGAAATAAACCTGTAGAATATTCATTTTACTTACTACACAATTTACTAAAGGGAGGAATGCCAGTTCAAGAAACTGAGGGAGCAGTAATGAGTTCTATTAAACAAACTGCAAAGAATTTATACTCCTGGATAAAGGAATTTATTACATTTATAAACTATGTGTGCTCAAGAACATTTATAATTTAGAAATGACTGAAAACTGCAGTGATAATGTGCGAGAGGTTTTAGTTAAAATGTAAGCATATCATTTGTTGGATTCTAAAGTACTCCAAAGGTATTCTGATATGTTCCTGTTTGGGGTGAGCAGTCTATTTGTGGTGAAGCATCACACAAGGATTATACATTTCTCGCCAACAGTCTCATGGTGGTTTATAAATATGACTGGTGTCCTTTTTGCTTTCTAGCAGCCTCCCCATGTTAGCCTTGCCACATGGTCAGTCTTCTGTTTGGTAGGTTTTATAAATCCTAAAAGTTCTAGTTCGGAAACAGCTCTAATAAATCGAGCACTGGAGGCTGCGGCTAAGGAAATTTGCCATATTTTTTGACAAAAAGGTTAAAATCTCAATGTTAAAACATCAGTTGTTAAACTGAAGTAAAGTTCAAATATCTATTCCTAAATTAAACCGTAACCCTTACTGGAAAACATCAAATGTAATTAGAATCCACTGTCGACAAGACATGAATGGTAAAGTGCTTAAAGCTTACCTAATTCTAATTTTTCTTAGTCTGAAAATTGCTTCCTCTTCAACTTCTAATAGTACATCATTGATCACCTTAGAAAAACATAATTACAATGACAGTTATGGGACATTTTTGCTAAATTAGGGAGTATGACCTTGATACAAGTTTGGGATTTGGTCTCATTTTAAACTTGGAATAAGTGTTTAGAAACAAGTTATTCTGGGATGGTATGGTTAATATTAACAAGAAATAATGTTGTCTGGGGCACATCTTTATAAATCTCTAAAATAAGTCTGGAGAAACTATAGGCTTATACGCCATGTAAACCTGGACATTGTAGAACTGGCTTTTTAAAAAAGGATACTGGATAATTTCATTCCTTTCTTCTGAGGTTATAGAATTTGCATCCATTTTTTCAGCAGCTGTCACAACTGTTGCAAAAGCCTTTTGAGAGACAAGACAGAAGAAAATAAAAATCTCTATCACTGCCAAGTATCTTTTATTGCATTTGATGACTGTATGAAGCCAGGTCAAGTACTGCTGCTGATAGCTGGCACATTTTTAAAATATTGCACCAAATTTCAGATTCTTAGAACTAATCTTCTTAGAAGGTGCCAATCATGCATATTTTTAAATGGTGACATCTGTTAAATAGGGCCTCTGACAGAGTTAACTTTGTAATGTTCTTCTGAGGATGGAAAGAAGTTATTTATCTTAGTAACAACAGTTGTCGGTTGCCTTGCCAAGCATTCCTTGTACTTCCTGATTGCTACATCTGTTGTATAGCTATTCCAATATTTTTTTTGTTTTATGTGATAAGGGAAACACTAGTTAATAATACACTTCTGTGGAATAACAAAACCAACCTAAACTGTTTAGCTCCTGCTTACTGTTAACTGTAGGGGTAGGTCACATACTTATTTTGACCTGGCACACTCACAAAATTCACTCGGTTGAGGTGTGGAATCAGAGTGCACGGGACTTGGAGTGGGACCGTTGAATGACCTGCTTATCTGGAGGAGATTTTGCAATATGAGGGGATTTACGCTTTCCAAACAAAAGAACAGGGCATTAAAAAAATGAAAGATGAGTTCCAAAGTACCAAAAGTATTAAAACCCCAGGAGAATGGTCACAGATGGCGAGGCAAATATACAGCTTGCTCTTTTCCCCCTGACCTACCTCTGACCAGTCCACAAGGTTGATTAGCCTGCTACACTCGAGGTGCAGTTTATATGCTATGCAGATGTCCGGGGCGACATTTGGAATGCAGCCTTCTTCACTTTTCAGTGCTTCATTCTAAAAACAACAGTAAACTAAGATGTCTGCCTTTTAGAAATGATTAGGAACACAAGCAGCCATTAATGAACCCTCAAACTAAATTCAGTAAGCCAGTACATGGAGTCTTTGGTTTCCTTTATTTAGTGAGCTGCATTTACTAACAGTTACTTAGCTCTTGTTTTGGATTAGGTCTTCATCATCATCCCCTTACCTCCTAGTCACTGGAAGAATAATCAGGATCAGAAAACAAGTGTATTTTTCATTTTAATCCAATTATTAATTTTTCAATTTTAATCATACATTATTATTTTCAGAGACCCTAATGCATTTCTATTTTCCATAAAAAGTTTATGGACTTTCTTGGGATTTTCAATAAAATGCCACTTCTAACACTTGTAATTATAGCAATAATTATTCTCTATTAATACCAACATACAACTACCAGAGTTGTAAGTTACTTCTCAAAAAGCTGTCAAACGCTGCAGATCCTAACTAACTCCTACAAAAACCATCTTTTTTAACTTGTTTGAAATCTATAGTTCTTACTGAGACAATCTCTCACACATACATACACATGGAGGTTGTAATATATCCTCCCCAAAGACTCTTAAAATCATACCAGATCTCTACTGTGACCTACCACTGAAGAGAAATTTTAATTTGTGTTTTATATAAAAATATTTTGTGCTTTAAATATGAAATATTCAAGCTCCCCACTACCACCATCATTGAAAACCACTGATTTCTATATTCCTACTCAGTATTCTCTTGTAATGCTTAGCATGCTAGCTTGAGTGCCATTTTGGAATAGAAAACCAGTAAAGTGGAACATTCTTCATAGATTTTTATGGAATCATTTCTTAAATATCTTTTGGGCCAAGATTTCTAGGTGTTTAGCTGAGTTCAAAACAAATGAACGTATTAGCAAATTGCCAACAGATTATTTCATGTATACATAAACTTACTGAAATGTTTAAAATGATGGCTTCATCTGAAGTTTTTAAAACTCTGAACTGTACTGAACTCTGTTTAAAGAACAGCTTTTTTTTTTTTTTTTTTTTTTTTAAGTTTCTTTTGTGAGAGAGCATGTGTTCGAGCAGGGGAGCAGCAGAGAGAGAGAATCCCAAGCAGGCTCTGTGCTGTCAGTGCAGAGCCCAATGCAGGGCTTGATCCCACAAACTGTGACATCATGATCTCAGCAGATGTCAAGAGTCAGATGCTCAACCAACTGTGCCATCCAGGTGCCCCAAGAAAAGCTTCTTGGAGCTAGCAAATATGTCTGGGTTTTAGGAGTTTCATCCCTGCCAGATTATTGGCCATCCTCTATACTCAGCTCTTGAGATACTCTCTCGGAGTAGATCTTTCTTTGATTGAAAATCCCAAACTATTTATTTCTTATATCAGAAACAATCTGGATCTTTTAAATACTGTTTGATCCATGATCTGATGTTATGTCTGTAGGAAACATTTATTTTCACAAGAGTAGTAACATTATACTCTGGTGTCTTCATGCCTGTGATCTGGCATTTTACCACATGAAGGGGAAGATCATTACACACAATCGAAAGTTGGCAGCATTATTCACTGGCTTAGAAAATGCCCTCTAAAGTCTAAAGACTTTTTTTAGACCTAAAAGAGGTATAATCCTGCGCTACCAACTCCCCATTTATTAGGACTGCAAATTTACAATATTTTTGTGGTAAATGAAGCCTGGGGTCTGAATCAAACTTTCAGAGTAACAAATAGGCTTTTTACCTTGAGATAATAATAAGGATTGTTGAGTGCAGTGTGGAGGGCGATTCTGGGAGCAGCGTTCAGGTGCGCACGCAGAGTGTGGGCGGCACTGAAGTACATCACCTCGTGCAGAGGCTGTGTCTCTGGAGGCAGAAGGTATTCTCTGAAACAGCCAAAGGGAGGTAGGTATCTGCTTTTAGATAAGCACAGGTTTATTTTCAGTGTAACATTTTGTCAGTCCTCTGGAAGACTGAGCAACTTACTTAAAAAGCAAAATCAAGAACCAAAAACAAATGAAACAAAAGCCAAATATAATAGTACAGGTTCACTCAGAATTGTACCTTTTTCATACAATATTTTTTAAAACTTTCAGACTCATTAGAGTTTAAGAAACTGTATTTCAGTTCTGATTTAAACCTTTAGGAACAAATGTACCTAAGTTACATTTCTGCTCAAAAGCTTTATGATACCTTACAGTATTAAAGAATACTTTCTTGAAGTAATTGTTGAGAAAACCAAGATAGCTACACTCCTTACCACAGCAGACCTGTAACTCCTGGCAGGGTTTACAACACGGACCTCAGACAGACCTGGATTTAAGAAGTTAGGAAATTCTTTTGGGAACATGGAAAATTTTTTGAAGTTTCATAGAAATGATACGTGGGAGGTTTTTATATGTTAGAATTAAATTTTACTTTTGAAGACAGAAAAGGCTAAATTTTAGCTTCAGAATATTAGAAAACAAGCCAACTGTTCATCACTAAAATTTCAATTAGAAAAACCACTGAAACTTGTGTTTTTTCTCTTATTTATGAGCTAGATGACAAACCAATTTTAATGAAATTTGAACTTAGGAAATAAAGCATTAAAAAGTTCACTTTCAATGTCTAATGAGCCTATCAGCTTGCCCTGACAGTGACATCACTCTTGAGTGGCCTGGAGGGTAGCAAATTGGAAGGGAGAAACCTTGTCAAACACAACGCAAGGGTAAGAGTAGTAAGTTACTAACTTGTTTAAAGTAGTTCATTCACATGCCTTCATAAAGATTCAGGGGACTTAGTCCTGTCCTGGGCTTTAAATATTTTAGCCACATGACAGATTTGTGTCAGTTCACCAAGTGCAGGTAGAAAAAGCAGCTGCCTCAGCCTCGCCACCAGAGAAATTACCCTCTTCTTCCCCGTGTCCTGGCTGTCTCCCCTCTTGGGACAAAATCCCTCTACACCTGCTCCACCTGTGTGGTCAGTAGCTTTAAGGAAAAGAGGACATGGAGGTATTAACCATGCACATCACCTCTCCTCATCTTAAGAAAGCTCCTGGCCCCCTGCTCATTCCACTTGTAGATGCTGCTCCTTCCCCAGAGTTCATCAGAAGAAAACCCAATGGCAAAGTCTAGGATTTTGAATTGGCGCTAAGGATCAGCATTCTGTACCTTAAGTACTGCTAACCTCTTACTCAAGGTTAAATTAGCTGTAGCCTCTGGCACAGGTTTTGTAACATCAACCGCCTCCCTAGCTGGCTGGCTACCCAGTTTGTAATCAGCTCTTCCTGCACCAACCTCAGGCTGTCTCTCCCCAATCATTATAATGACTGTCATTAAAAGACCCTGTTGGAAGTCCCTGCTATGAAGTAAGGACTGGAAATCAAACAAGGCAACCAGACAGAGTCAGTTTCAGAAAAAAACTATTATCTCACATTTTTCATTTTTACTCCTCTCCCTTTTTAACATCTTTAAATTTATTTAATGTTTAGAAATTCAGGTAATTCCCAAGGCAAAAGGCCTATGTGGATACCCTCAAAGAACCTCCATCAGAGGCAAAATAAAATATATGCCTGTATTTTGTTTACACTGGGCTGCTACATTAGTTGAACAACAACAGTGACAAAACATCATCACACATTAGGATTTCTGTCCAACTGCAAATGTGGAGATTAGCATAGAAGCATACTTCTGCACCTTATTTGCTGGGAGAAGCAGAGGTCACAAACAAAAGAGGTGGTTTTGTGGGAACTGATAGGACCACTTAGTGTCAACAAGGGCTACAAAGTTGAAGTTTGTATTCTGGTGAAAACAGTAACTTAGAAAGTAGTACTTATAATTCTCAGTAGTTTCATCAAGAGCTGCTCAAGGTAAACTGAGAACCCTGTCTCTCAAAGTCTATTGTTTATATTTATCTTTAACAAACATCTTTTCTCCAGGACTCCAAACTCTGTTCAAACATCTGTGATGTGGTCTCCTTGGAGACTGTATGGAGAAATGGAGAGGGACTTTTGATGGATGTCAGTAGACTAGGACTGTGTGACTATCCAGAAGTCCTAGCTTCACTCTGGGCTTTAGGTGCCACATGACTCCTCAGGTCCCTTTTAGTTCTAACATGCTACAATCCTAATCTCTTCCTGCCTGGGATAGTCAATTTTGATAAAGACAGTAAATCCTAGTATGGATAATTTTGTGATTTCACAACACAGCACAATTCAATCATGCTCAACTTTATTTCGGTAACCGCTCAGAAAGGTAAAAAGTCAGACATAATTAGGTCAAAGATCACAAAAGAGGAATAGCTGTTTGATTTCAAAGCCTACAATTTGGGATTTGTAGGAACTCAGAAAGGAACCTGGCACTTAGCCTACAATTATGTTAAAATACACCACATTTTTTAGCAATAACAATGGCCACAGGTTGGTAAAGGAAAGGAGCCAGAAACCTGGGGCAAAAACTACAGAACAGGAAAGCCCAGTAGCGCAAGGTTAACAGGAGGGCAAGGTTAACTAAAGTTCTAAAAGGTCAATTCCGGCCAGCAGGTCAATTCGATGTTGCATTGCATCACTTTTACATGACACATTTCTTACTTTAACCTACCTTTTGTCACACTTGGTTGATCATTTGGACCTCTTGCATGACATTAGCAATTTCTCCCTAATGATTAGCAACAATGGCTCCCACACTGTCCTGGAAAATGGAACTTTTCACTTTGAAGAAGGACAGGTCATTTATCAGAAAACTACTCTGCCTTCAGTAACTGAGCTGTTCTTTTTGGCACTTGATTATATTCAGTGCCTAGCCTGCTGTTTGAACTGCCATTAAAATACAGAATAAGCAATGATAAATAACAGCTTTTTCCTATTTTTTAACTATTAAATCATTTTAGTTTTCACACTTCTCTTTTTTTTTTTTTCCCCCTTATAGCATGTCCCAATTGCCTGAAAGGCGGCTTAGGTGGGAAATCCTACACAGCTACATAAAATTGGCTTTTGGGAAATCTATGAATCAGAATGATCTGGGTTTCCCAAAAAGAAATAATCTTAAAATATAGGCTAATGGACTTCTAAATTACATTTCTCAACATGAATCTAGTGCTGATAATAAGTTGCACTGGTATTCTTTAGAATTAGAAGTGCCTTACTCTGGATAAAAGAGGGCATTATGGCTAGCTGGCTGTGTCTTCTGGGCTTGGCCTAGACCCATCATACTCCCAGCACAGGCAGAGCAAGGATACAGTGCGATGCAAACATTCTGTTGTTAGGGTAAAAAACACTCAGCTTTCTATTTTCACACCCCACTCCGCCAACCCCAGCCTAATGAGCTAGATAGATCAAATTTAAATCTGTGTTCTTGAACTGGCAGTAAAGGAATGAACTAGTCCTTTGATGAGACATCTTAATAAGGATGGAAAATGAATCAAAATTACAATTCTAAGCTAGATGAAGGGGCCTGAAAAGCATAAAGCCTAATCTAGGAGAAAGTGCCCTGGATTGGCTATGGACAGCTATCACCCCAGTGTTATTGGGAAAATAGCCTGATTTTTAGCTCTTAAGAGCAACAGACTCACCTCACCAGACTGTCAATGAAGTTGACAACTTTTTCTCTGAGTGCTTCAAACCTGGTCTGCTTCTTACTGGTTCTTCTTAATTCCTTCATTTCCAATAAGGACTATGGATGAAAGAACATATTTTTTCTGGTGATTCTGCAACAGAAAACTCAGAGGGGAGCTCTAGGTCCACAGACAGAATGTGCACAGAAAGAGCAAGATCAATGCGGGTTGCATTTATTTTTTATTTTTAAGGTCTGCAAAGAATCTCTCCTCCTAAGTGTTTTGCTTCAAATATATATCAAGTTTATTTCAGGGAAAAAGAAAAAGAGCAGTTCACTTCATTGCTATTATACGGTAGAGTACTCACAATCCACAACCCATTGGTTCATTTAAGAAAAGGATTTATATGGGGTGAGCCTGGGTGTCAGTCGGTTAAGCAGCCGACTTTGGCTCCGGTCATGATCCCATGGTTTATGGGTTCGAGCTCCACATCAGGCTCTGCGCTGACAGCTCAGAGCCTGGAGCCTGCTTCAGATTCTGTGTCTCCCTCTCTCTCTGCACCCTTCCCTAGCTTGTGCATGTGCGCTCACTCTCTCCCTCCCCCGCCTAAATAAATAAATAAATAAATAAATAAATTAAAAAAACAATTTTCTTAAAAAAGAAAAGGACTTATAAGTAGAAGGAAAAAAATCCTTACACTTTGGCCATGAGAATAAATTCAATGTGTTCTGCCTTGCTTTGATTGAAAGTTTACATTTATCATAACTTGGTATCATGATACAAAGAATGTTCTTTACTTTGACAACCAAGATCCTAAAGTTAGAATTAACTGACAAAGATTATGTTGGGTGTACTGTGGCTCAGTTCCTGCTCTCTACTGAATATGCATTAAAAAGTCAAGTCCCTAAAATTAATGGGTTAGGTTCTTATGGATTTGTTTGATCAAACAAAAAGTCAAATGCATCAAATAATCAGATACCTTTTTGCAACAAATGTTCCCATTTTTTCCTTACTGCTGGTTAATTCCTATTCTAAGCCTGAAGGAACAGTTTCCACCTATGTTGGCTAGTAAATTCCAGACTTTGTAAATAGAGAATGAGAATGGCAGTGGATCAGATAAACAGGATGTTCAATTTGTAAGTGTGTTACAAAATCTGCTTTGTTCCTGATTGTGGATGAAAAATAAAAACAAAAACACAGGCAGAGCTAATCTAGAGCACACACTAAAAAAAGGAGTGTTGCAAGATGCAGTTGGAAGGAAAATTTACCTTCTGAAGATGATAAAGGTCTGTCTTCTGAAGCCCCTTTGACTGTAGCCCTGAAGTATCTTCTTCTTCTTTGGCTTCTGCTTTTTAATATAAAACCAATATACAGCAACTAGGGTAAATCCATTCCAGTCAAAAGAACAAATATTTCTAGAACTCCACGGGAAATAAAGTCCACCAAAGGGAACAGAAAACTGTCGCTGGTGAAAGGTGTAGTTGTGCTTCTGGAGAGCATGAGGCTCTAAAACAACCCTCTTCCTAGTGTAAGGCAGGTTTTAGGAATTTCACATTCACATGGCTTATTTGGACTAAATCTAAGACAAGAGGATGTGGCTGCAGAATCTGCACTGTTCTAAAAGAATAAATTTCTTCTTAGCTATGGATAATTCTTCATTCAAGAAAAATACAATTTAAGGTTAAATAATCTAATAAATTCTTTGTGCCATTTCATTAGCACGTAGCAGAGCCTTGAAAACCTGATCTGACACTGTGACCCTACAAATGTAATTTTAAACCCAGACTATAAAACATAGTTAAGGAACCAGAGATAGCATATAGTCAAATATCTCTACTTGTCTAATGTGTGTGTGTGTTGGGGAGGGGGGGTGTTAATTTTACTTTATTATTAACAGAGTATCACTTCTGAGAATAGACAATACAGATATTTTTTTACAGTGGTTTTACTTCAACTCATAAAATTCTTTATCTTCAGAATGTTAATCATCTTAATCTCCAAACTTCCCATTGCAAAAAGCTGCATTCCTTTATTATTTAGTATATCACAATTTATTTCACCAGCTTATGTTAACTGTTATAATATCAAGTTTTATTTTACAAAATAAAAACTGAGTCCAATTTTTTAAAAGATTGAAATTTACCTACTTATATATATTAAGTCTTTTACCTTATTTATGTCCTTAAGGTGTCCCCTCACTGTCCCAATAACCACAGTTAAGGGGCATTTAAATTATGAATGAATGAACAAAAGCAATGAGCTGGCTTATGAGAGGGGAGCTGGAGCCCGGGTGCTAGCACTAGCTAGCTGTGGGATCTGGAGGAAGTACATTCTCTTCCTGGGCTTTAGTCTGTTTGTAACTGAACTCAATGATTTCTACACTAATCTCCAGTCCTTTAAAATATGATTTGAAAAATGGTTCAGCTCATGCTACAGTGCAAAAGAGCAATGCCTACACACAGCCTGAAGCGAACCCTCTTAGTACTGTACTTCCTCGTCCTGGCTGCTTATGTCGCTCCAGCCAAGGAAACTTTCTCTTCATCTTCCACTGACCTAGCATGGCAGCTGTGGACAGATAGGGAGGGATCTCAGCAAAAGCAGTTTCCTTTAATCCAAAGGATTTTCAAGACAAAGGAACACTTGCCAAACGTAGAAAGGATTGACAGACATTCCAAGTGTGAAGTATTTTCATCATGCCACGTCCAATCTATGTGCTTACATACCACGCTGCCTCATTCCCTCAACCTCCCAAAGTAAAATTTCCCTAAGTAGGGGAAAATAAAGGGTCCATACTCTTTTTGTTTGTTTTACCAAAAGAATACCATACTTTAGTGCTAGAACGAGAGCAAGAGAAGAGCCCATGAAAAGTTAACGATCAGTATCAATCCATGGTGCCCCTGGAAAACACAGAGAAGTCCTGCTGCATCATAACATGGCTACTTATACACAATAGGCATCGCAGCATTCAGCAAATATAAATGACCGTGTGGCGGTCAGGCAAAATCAAGGAAATTACAACACCTCAACATGGGAATGCCAGGCTGCCTCAGTTCATTTAGGACTGAAAGATTATAGCTTTTATAAATCAGATTAAAGCAAACCTCATGCATATTTTGGTAATCAGCATACCAATGAGCCTCATTTTTGTGAAAGTGGTTCACAGCTATTAATTCTTCAGGCTTACAAATGATTTATGCAGTGTTTTTGAAATCTAAAAGAACTTGATGAAATGCTTAAGAAAAAACATCTAAAAGGAGTCCTTAATTATGATGCCCTGCTACTCTCTCCAATCTTTTTGATTTCTTTTTTTTTTAAGGTAAATGTAAGTCCTCTAAGCTGTCCATCTGGAAAGAATTTTTTTTCCTGACCATTTGATGATCTTCATTGTTCAAACCAAATCTGGAAGAGAACCACTTGTCTTATTTGTGATTGTCAGGATATGATATTCTGAGGGTTGGTATGCTGACTGCCCATGAACTACTTTATCTCTTTATCTCTCAAACATCAGAAAATGGGGTTTTCCATGTTATTTTATTTAGTTAAATTTCATAGCCAGTACAATGGGCAAGATGCTATATTCTCACCATCAAGACTCTGAAACTGGGCCAGAAACTCCTCTATTCTCTTTGCTGTGCTCCCAAGCTGCTTTTCAGAAGAGGACTTAAAAACCTTGAAACATTTCTGAAGTATGGTCATCAGTTCATCCTTTGCCAACATCCTAGAATATAATCAGTGACAGGAGACATACTGTAATGGGAAAATTAATATACTTAACACTCTGTATATTAAATGTTTCTGGTCAGAAAAAGATGGTATAAATTCTTCACTAGTAGCTACCAAATTTGGGGGGAGAGATTTTCCTCAATGTATGTGACATTTCAGAAGTATTTAGAAAAGTTCTCATAATAAAGCTCAACTCACAAATGTACAAAGCTCCAGGCTCACAGCCTGATTGCAGCACTTACTAGGTTTATAGTACACAGCAAGTTACCAAACCACTCTGACCCTGGGTTTCCTAGTCTATAAAATGGAAATAAGAATTCATGTATTTCACAGGTTAGATGGAGGCTTAAAAATTAAATGAGGAGATGCATTTGAAGACTCTAGCCCAATGCTTACCACACAGTAGGTAGGCATTTAAGGTTAGTGTCCCTTTGCTTCAGATCTGAGACAGAAATGTCTGCTGAAGATACAACACTTAAACTAAATGAAAGCTTATTTGAAAGGACCAAAAAATATCATAATCATTTCTCTATTACCATCTTAGCTATATTTTAACATATTCTATGGGCTTTATAAACATCAGTCATTAAATCCACTAAATTGTTTTAAAAGGTAAGCAATTCTGTGTTTTATATAGCACAGGTGGAATGGTTGTATAATGCATTCAAGGCCACAGAAGAAATCTGTTAGAAACAGAGAGAACACAGATCTTCTAAAAATTAGGATCCCATTCTCAGAACCCTTACTTATAGGATCTCTCTACTAAGATCATATTCAGTAACAGAATGAAATGGAATTAGGTCAATATTAGTAATTATTAAGTGCCATGACACAAGTATAAAAATTATTTTCAGCAAATGGACCTAAAAACTGAAGACTACTATGATTAAAAGTTCTTGTATTAATCATGAAGGACTCAGACAAATCCAAAATTTAGGCTATTCTGCAAGATAACTACCTTATGTTTGACATTTTTCATAATAAAAAATCTGGGAAAAATACTAATATTACTAAGTCAGAAAAAGATATAAAGCTAAGTAGACTAAGACTACTGAGCAATTAAGCTGGTTACTTCAACTAAATTTAAACCCCAACCAAAAAATAAAAAATTGTCATACAACTGATAAATACAGAAACTGGTAGGAGTGGACAAAAGTAAACTTTTGCCTAGAAAAAAATATAAAATCTTCCTCCTTCTATAACAATAATTATCTGAAGTATTAGTAATATTTTTCTGTGAATGAAAGGCAGCTAGAGGTCAAAGAAAATTAAACCAACACATTTAATTCTTGATTACATTTGACATTACTTAAAATGTCTGACTTTCTATTGCCCAGATGAAGTTAAACTTAAAAGAGTTAAACTCAAAGTCAGATACATTTGAACAATCTGTTATACCTGACAAACGTTAGCCCTATTCAAATAGCCACGACCAGCATCTCCAGGGTCCGAGGAAACACTGACAATGGCTTGCTCGCGGGGCAGAAGCTGGTAACTCACATCAGCAGCACCCTGAGAAAAAGCGTACCAGGCTGCAGGCAGCCCTTCTGGGCATCTATCTAGATGCAGCTTACAAAACTGAGTATTGACAGAGACAAAGCCCCGCCTATTACTGACTTTCAGGATATAAGGGGAAAAAATGTCATTATGTCATATAATTTTGAAATCAAACTTTATTAGTCATAACTTTTAACATGACATTTGTTGGAGGGGGTAGATCCTTCACTTCAGATGTAAACGTCCAGGAATTCAGAAAGTTATCACTCTTTTTCTTATTAGCCAAAGGTAATGTTCTTGTTTCCAGAAGAGCAAAAGATCTTACACTTTCCCAAGTACTCTCCAGTTTAATATAAAACAAGTCTTGAAGTAGAGCTAATAATGTGACCAACCCTATAAAATCATTAAATTTTTTCAATTAAATTATATATACACAGAATCAACATATGCCTGCTATCATCACTATTATTTAATATCATTCTACAGTCCAGTCGCTACAACAAATTAAGAAAAAGGAAGTGGTGCAAAAAAAAAAAAAAAAAGGAAAGAAAAAAGAAGTGGTGCAAACATTACAAAGGAAGATGAAATTTATTATTTGCATATGATGTGACTATAAGATTGGAAAATCTAAAAGAACTGCATAAGTATTAAAGAGTATGAAGGATGTGTGGATGTAAGACATGTATACACATACACCTGTGTTGACACCTTACACGTACATGTAATCCATCTTATATTAAACTATGTAATGGAAAAAAAGAACATATTCAAAATGGCAACAAAAACTATAGAAAACAAAGCAATATACTTTATAGCAAATATGTAAGACATATCAAAAAAAGAAAACCCTGAATAAGTGAATAGACATTTTAAAGTTTTAGAGATACAAATTCATTCCAAATAAGTCTATACTTTTAACACTTTTGGAAACAAAAGTCCAGTATTTGTTTAAACCCCAATAAAATTATCCTAAAATTTATATGGAAAAATAACTGTTACTTAAAAAGAGGAATAATGTGTATATACTTGACTGTGTACAGTGGGGCTATTAATATATTAAAAAGTATAAGCTGCAGTGATTAAAATCAGATGGCACTTTATAGGAATGGACAGGTCAATAATGAGAATAAGTCTACAAAGAGATCAAGGAATATATAGGAGTTTGGTACATAATACAAGGTAGTACTAATTACTGGGGAAGAGATGGAAATAGTTTGAGAATAACAGATCATTACCTCAATATTATTTCAGACAGAATAAAGATGTGAGTATGGCATGGGGATAGGAGAAAGAACTAGTCCATCAATTATAAAATACTAGAAGAAAATAATGATATTTAAGCCTAATAATATCCAGCATCAGCATGAGTGTGGGGAAACAAATACTGATACACTGTTGGCACAAGTGTACGTTGGAAAAAGTGTTTATATTTTAGACCCCAAAAGTCTATTAAATGTGTATTTATTTTTGTGAAAATTACACAAATGTACGAGAACATTTACCCTTGGTGATTACTGTAACAGTGAAGAATTAGAAACAACCCAAATACATATCAAACAAGGGACTGATTAAATAAAATGTTACATTTTCAAAACGAGATATAATGTAGCTGTGATAAACAATGACATAGTACTAGTGATGACAGTTAACATATATGCACATGTGTATTTGGCAGAATTTGATCTCTACTACACTATATGATGAGTTATTATTATTGCCACATTAAGAGATGAGGAACAGAGACACAGAAAACTTAAGTAACCTGTCTAGAGTCTGGTAACTGGCAATTGCCAATTTGGTAATTTGACTGGATTAGAACCAAGTCTGGCTTGGCATCCATGCTCTTACCAACCATGCTGCACCACATTTCAAGACACAGTGTCCACGGTAGGATATTAGGTACAAAACAAATAACTACCACAACAAAAATGAACCAAATTTCAAAACCAAAAAAATGCAAGTTGTAGAACATCCCATCCACTATGATTTAATACCTGTTGGTGCCTAGAAAAAAATCTAGAAGTACAAACTGTTAGCAGTAGATGACTGGCTTTCAAAGTTATAGAACACGAATGGTAATATCAAAAAGCAATGTTATGTTTTCACTTAGGTTATTATTAGAGTGACTCCACTTTGGACAAACCAAACCTAATTGAACAAAACTGAAAACTAAAAAATGAAAATTTTAATTTATCCCTCAAAGTTTTTTGTAATAACACCCAAATAGAAAATTAAGGATTGAGTCTAGCCACTAGACCAGCATGTTTCAAACTGAGTTTTCAAAATGGGTTTCAACCATTAGTGAGTCATGAAACCATTCATTCATTCAGTGAACACTTACTGAATGCCTACTACATACCAGCCACTGTTCTGGGCTTTTGGGATACATCTCAGTGAAACAAAAACCCCTGTATTCATGAAACTTGTATTCTAATGGGTGGGGGATGAGGAGGTAGGGCACAGACAACAAACGCTATGTCTCATATTACTATGTATATACTAAAACTTGACATTATTATAGAAAAATATTAAGGGGGAAGTTTGGGGAGGAGCAGATAGGTTTGAATTTCAAAATGATTATTAGGCCTCACTGAGAAGAAGATATTTGATCAACCACGTGAAGGAGGTAAAAGAGTATTTGTAAGAACTTTTCCTGGCAGAGAGAATAATGCATGCAAAGGGCCTACACTGAGTGTATGTCTGGCATGTTCAAGAAGAACAAGAGGTCAAGATGGCTGGAGTGGAAAGAGAAATCAAGTAGTAGGAAATGAAATAAGAGATAGGCAATGCAGGGCTAGATCACAGAGGGTTGCTATATAGACTGTGGCTTTTATTCTGAGTGAAAAGGGGAGTTCATGGAATTGTTTAGAGCAAAGGAATGAAATTGTATGATATATTTTAAAAGGACTGTGCTGACTGCTGTTTTGAGAAAAACCCATGGGGGAACATGTATGGAAGCAAGGGAAACCAGTTTTACAATTTTCCATATGAGAGACGATAGTGACTTGGACAGGTGTTACCAGTGAGGGAAGGTGGCAAAAAGAGGTTTGATTCTTGATATATTTTGAAGCCAGAATCCAAGTTTTTGGATTTCAACAATGGGAAGGATAAAAAGACTGACTACACGAAGATTCTAAGGTTAAAGGGAAGATCAGACATTCAGTTTTAAACATGTTAACTTTGAAATGTATATTGGATATCTAAGTGGAGATGTTAATCAGGTACATGGAATAACAGTCAGGTAGTCAAAAAAAAAAAAAAGTGGGCTTTTGACTAAGCCCTGGCACATTGTAATGTTAGGGTGTCAAGGAGAAGAGAAACCACCAAAGACAGAAGGAGCATGCACTAAAGTAGGAGGAAACCTGAGAGTCGGGATCCTGAATGTCATTAAGGAAAGAGTGCTGTACTGTGCTGATGCTGATAACAGGTTAACACAAATGAAGACGTAGGACTGACCATTAGATTTAGGAACAGGGAAGTCACCAATGACCTTCTTCA